GTAATGCACATATATATATATATATATATATATATATATATATATACTGTGTGTGTATATAATATATTTATTAACATAGTGGTGTAGTGGTTAGCGCTTCTGCCTTGCAGCACTGGGGGTCCCTGGTTCAAATACTGCCCAGATGAGTTTGAATCAAGGAGTTTGCATGTTCTCCTTGTGCTTACGTGGGTTTCCTCTGGGTACTCATGTTTCCTCCCACACTCCAAAGACATGCTAGTAGGTTAATTTGCTCCTGTATGTATGCATGTGAGATAGGGACCTTAGATTGTAAACTGAAAACACAAAGTGCACAGCTTGCCCCTATCATGCGCCCCCGCAATCCACATTCGGTGCATGGATGACTCTTCCGGAGTAATAGGCTCAAAAACTGTGGAACCAGCACACGATGATCTTCCCAAAAAATTCAAACTTGCTATGACTAAGGCCGAGTGAGGCAGAAACGCGTCAGCAGTTGTGCTTTGTATAGATGCATGTGGAATAAAGTTTGAATTTCTTTGGAAGATCATGATGTGCTGGTTCCACAGTTTTTGAACCTTATATTGTAAGCTTCTTGAGGGCAGATAGATATGAATGTGCAGTATGTAAAACGCTGTGTAAAATGGTCATTGCTATAAAAATACCTGAACTAAATAAATAAACACCATAATTCGGGCCACCCTGCCCGTTGAAGAGATAAACCTTAGGGAAAAAAAAACCATGCAAAGAATTTACTGTCCATTTCCTAGAAGTTAAAATGATAAGCCTCAGATCCTAAAGCCAAGTTTTTCTAAACTCAATTAAAAGAAAAGTGCATGGAAGGGTTAGAAGTTCTGTTAGGATTGTATTGCCATCTGAGATTTTCATTCACTTTCTGTCCCTGTGACTAGTGGTTATCATGACAGAAAAAAATAGGTTGCAGATGGACTTTAAATTGAATCACACAAGAATGGAGGTAATAGGTAACCACACACCTTCAGAATATCTGCACAGAAAAGTTGTTTTAGATCTTCTTCAACCTCAGAACGGAGGTAATAGGTACCCACACAAATGCAGTATATCTGCACAGAAAAGTTGATTTACATCTTCTCCAACCTTAAAGTTGCCCCCAACTTTTAAAGGTAAGAAACACTCAGATACTGCATGCATGCATCTCCTAAACAATTGCATCAATTTTCCCCTAAATGCTGGCACTTAGCACTAACCTATATATTATATAATTGCACCGTTTGACCATAATGACTAAGAGTCAGGCTGCTAGTACCGAAGCAGTCTAAGGAGAACTGATCTGCACATCTAAAGACAACTAATTTTGACACTGTGTATCATCACTCTCCTTTAAAGCAACCCTTTTTTGCCCATGCTTACAGAAACTGTCATCAAATATAAACGTTTAATATTAAACCTAATACCAAATCCCTGATGCACAGTCCGTGAACAATAACTCTGCTCCAGTCTTTCTCCAAAGACCCAGTTATTTCCCTGCTGCACGTCACCATTTTACCTCTTGCATAGCAAAAAGAACATTAAGCCAGCCTGCCAAGCACATCAAAGACACCTCTTTCTCTGATTTATAAGACACTTCTCTCTGCATATGTCAGCAGCCAGGTAGAGTGGTTAGATATGAAGGCTAGGCTCCTACAAGAAGTCAAATTTTGCAAAATGAATGAGTTTTTTTGGGACAGGAAAGGTTCACTTTAAGCTCAAATTCAAAATGGACTCTTTTTTTTTATAACATAAGCAACTTCTTATAAACAGAATTATACATATTTTATATAATATATTTGAAATAGTACACATGCTATATAAGTGTAATTAGTTCCGTAAACCCAATTTGTTACAATGAGGTACAGATATGTATATAAAAGATAACATCTACGAGTTTTTCTTTCAACACTATGCAGAGGCTAATAAGAAATGCTTCAATACAGAAAAATAAACTTACTGCTTCCATAAAGATCATCTTTAATATAAACCAGACAATGTTACACTGCATTTCTTAGGGTTATTGTAAAGTATAGTCAATTATAAAGCAATTTGTTGATTGACTCTTTAAATAACTGAAAGATTAGGAAACAGATAAATGATGCACTATACAAAGTGGGGGTCACATCTTTTCAGATCCAATTTTGTACATTTGGCAGCAAGAAATTCCACATCAGTGAGAGATTTTGTTTTCAGAACAGAAAATTAAGTGGAATAATCACGGCTTGTCTTATCACCCATATTTTGCCTAAGTGTCATATAAGGGGGCAGAGGTGCAGCAATGAGTAAATGTGCTCAAGATTGGGCAATAACCACAAGCATTAATCTCTCACACGTGTGTAAAAGTGAACTTAGCACCACTCTCCTGACATTCCTCATTTAGATGACTATGAACACGTGTAGACAATAACTTAACGTCAGGGCTAAAGTAGAGGAAATTGCAACCAATTGTACAAATGGATTACAGTTATTCAGAGTATAATGGCAGGGATATGACACTGCACAATGAAGCATATAATGAAATAAAGACAAAACCCGTAAAAAGCAATGCTGTAATCCCATATCTAAAGTTAGATTAGGTAAAGAAACAATAATGGGCTAGTGCTTTGTAAAATTAGACCGTTGTAGATAAGAATCACCATTTATATTTCTCGTACCATTCCACGGGGACTCTGTATAATTCCTGGTACAATATCATTATTTTGAACCAGTACACTTTGAACAGGTTTTCTATGACAATGCAACAGTGTACATTATGGAAGCTGGAATAAATTATCTAGAGTTTATGAACCAAGTGGGGTAATAAAGAACACTTGAATGGGTAAGCTTAAAGTGTATGTCTGGGCAAAATAAAATAAAAAAACATACAGTGCATCTCTTTAATACATGCATATTTCCCTATGTTTTATCTCTTAAAACACAGAAAGTACAGACAAATACCTGTTGCATCTACCAGAAACCCAGTGAGCTCCTAACACTCCTAACCAGGAGCAGGAAGCCTAATATGACTGCTCTATACAAAGAGTACACAGAGTGAGCATTGTCAACCTAAGGCAGGCTACTTGTAGACTTACTATGTTAAAATAAATGGAATACCGTATTTGCCGGCATATAAGACGGGTTTTGAGACCTTAAAACATCCCCCAAAAATCGGGGGTCGTCTTGTACATGCGGAAGGATACGGTATACTGTATGTAGCCGAAGCTACATACAGTATACCGCGCTGAGCCAATCACGGCAGGCTTTGTATTAATGAATACAGGCTTTGTATTCATTAATACAAAGCCTGCCGTGATTGGCTCAGCGCGGTATACTGTATGTAGCCGAAGCTACATACAGTATACCGCGCTGAGCCAATCACGGCAGGCTTTGTATTAATGAATACAAAGCCTGCTGTGATTGACTCAGCGGAAGACGGAGGGCACAGCGGGGATCGTGGACAAGGTAAGAGACTGTAATCCCGAGTGTGGCTCGGGGGTACCGCTTATGGTACAGAAAATTAACCCTGAGCCAAACTCGGGAATACCCCCATGGATGTTAGTGGGTGCATCTAAACATTATTTTGGGCTATACTCGTCTTATACGACGAGTATAGCCCAAAACCTATATTTTAACACAAAAAGTAGGGGGCATCTTATACGCCGAGTCGTCTTATATGCTGGCAAATACGATATGAAATACATTACATTTTTGTTTTGGGTTTAGATATATTTTAATGTCTTTAGAGATACACCAAAACTAATGCTGGGCATAAACATGTTCTGACAAAAAGATGAATAGGAAAATAAAAAAATTTATGGATAAGTGCATAATATGCACTTTCATATATCACTGAATTTGATCTCATCCCAGATGCAGAAATAGTAGTAATCAGCTAACAAAAACCTCCAACTTGGCCAATTAACTATACCTCCTAGAAGGATCTTTTAGAGTTGTTTACTATGAACAAAAGGTATAAGCATGGCAATGGCCACCTGTTCAGGCCATATTTATAATGTGATTTATGAACATATACTTGGGGAAGGATACCTGGGATGCACCAACAAGGTGTGATAATGAGGACATTGCTGAATTCTAGAATGTTTTTTTTTGTGTATTTTTATTTACTTTGTTTTGTTTTTTAGTATCTGCCCTACCTGCTGGTCT